GCTTCATTTCACCTGTAGCTTGTGAAATGAACTTCTGCATTGCACTTAGAACATTGTTTGAGTTCTTTTCACTCATTGGGAACGCATAACCTTTTCTACTGTTTACATTGATGAACAAAAGAAAATATGGTGGTGTTCCACCAGGATTCTCAAATGTATCGAATTGATAAGCTCCCATATCAGTTGAATATATTGGTAGCATCAAATCCTCTTGTATTAAAGTTTTTTCTTGTTTACCAACAGTCATTTTTTTATTAACGTTAAAGTCTTACAGGCATTGAGTAATCGCTATAACCATCATGGTCTGCGAATTCATGTAATCTTGATGCATCAGGTTCTTTCTTCGTTGGTGCATGAAACCTTGCTTCATCATAAAGGTTCATATAATGGTTTGTCACGTTTGGGGTAGACCCAATTTTTGCATATTGAGGATATGAGTAATGATACACTAAGTTGAACCCATTACTACCATCATCAACATATATCTTTGGTGGAGGTTGTCTTATTAAATTCCTTCCTCTTGGGGCTTTGAGTTGGACGATCTGATCTAGATCATTGTAAACAACTCCTGTTGCAGTATATTCTGTGTTGTTCTCTGGGTTAATGTTCGTCATTTATATGAGAATAAAACAATTTTTACTCATAACAAATGAGATCGAAGTCAATTCTTTATGGTGCAGCTAATCTTCCAATTGAACCAACAAGCAATGTTGATTCAAGAACAACTAATAACATTGTGATAAAGAACTATCCATCTGGTACAGTAAGTGATGCTCCAACAGAGATAAAAAAAGAGGAAACAACTACGAACTCAGAAGCACCAATGTATCCTCCTCCTTTAAGTCCATTAACTTCCAACCTGACCTCATCGAGATCTGTGGAGACTTCATCGAGGATTGGTGTAGAAGAGTATTTACTTAGTATATACCAGAAGATACTTCTAGACCAAGACAAAGAGCTCTTTTCTAACTTAGTGAGCAAAGATCAGATCTTACTACCTAAGCCAGACTTGGAAGAAGTTGTTCACAGAATGACTGGGTTCAAGTGTGAAATAGACCTACTGGACCCAGACATCACATGTTGTGGTATTCCACCACCTTTCTCAAAAATAGCTCAGATCAGAATCATTGATGAGAACAATATTGCTCAAGAGTTTAAGTATGCATATAATGCACAATATACTGAGTTAATAAGTAGGTATAATTTATGTCTTAAGTATGTTATTGTTTAACCAAAAAATTTTTTATCTAATGTTAAATATGGTTGTTCAAACAAGAACAAAAGCACAAATGTTTCAAGACTTACTCAATAAAACTTATTGTTTACTCAAGTAATTATTTTAGAACGTTTCGACGTACTCCTTGATCTTATCAAGAGCTTCGAGCATCCGCTTCTTTGCATTGTACTTGGCGAGGATGGCTTGCTCAATGGTGAGCTCGAAGGCTTCTTTACCGATCGGACGGTGATCGCGAAGATCTTTGAGTGCATCAAGAGCTGCAGTGTACTCTGATGGTAAATGGGAGCCATCTAGTAATGGGTACAAAATGAGCATGTATTCCTGCAGTAAGTTCTCCTGTTTCAAGCGGGACTTGAACTCTTCGCGGAGATCTTGAAGCTTTTGGAGCTTCTCAGTGGCTTGAAGGTATTCAATGATGACCTTCTCTTGTCCTCAAGTGCTTGTGGGAGGAAGTGGACATAAGCTGTTGACTTCATCAAAAATGAAGTGGTCATGACACTTTTTAAGTTAATGTCCGAGCCATACAGTGATGTCGAAGCAGCACATGAACCAAAGAAGAAGTCTTGCTGGGAAAAGACAAAGATTGTTGGTAACGCAATCCTAGCCATTTGTGTTGTTTTGAACTTGATCGTACTTCTGATCTTGTTCTACAAACTCAACAGAGGTTATTGTCTCAAGTAAACACTTATTTTTATTACCATATAAATGATTTTTACCAAACCTCCTTTACCTTTCATAGGTAATAAGTCGAAGATCAGGAAAGATCTTATCGACATACTCAAAGACATCAAAGGGGATTATGTCTTCGTTGACCTCTTTGGTGGTTCTCTCTATATCTCTCATCTGTTGCATATTATGTTCCCAAAAGCAACGATCATAGCTAACGACTATGATAACTACGTTGATAGACTGAAACACATTCATGACACGAATGAAATACTTAAGGAACTTAAGGAGAGAATAAATGTTAAGCCAGATGAGAAAATTCCTACTGATCAGAAAGAGATCGTCAGAGAAGTTATAAGTAAAGCTCCATACATAGACTGGGATACATTATGTTCACGTCTTCTCTATTCTGGAGCATACAAATACTATGATCTTGACACATTAATGAAGAAAGTGTTATACCTCAGATATACTAACTTATTTGGTGAAAACATAGATGACTATCTTGAAGGTTTAACTATTGTTCATAAAGATTGGAGAATACTCTTCAATGAGTATAAAGATCTTCCCAATGTTTTCTTTATATGTGATCCTCCATACTTCCATACTTATTCTATACAGTATGGAGATGAATGGACTCTTAAAGATACTGTAGAAACCTTTGATGTCCTTAATTATCCATCTATTTACTTCAGTAGTGATAAATCTTATACAGAAGAACTTTAGAGATATTGACAAAAAGATATGGAGAGAATTTCTATGAGAAAGCATGTTATAGATAGAGGTTTAATTAATCCTAACACTCAGAAAAATAATGAAGTAATATATGTCACTTTTTCTGTTAATGGAGAAGAGAAAGATCAAGAAGATAATAGTTGATGAGGGAACTGAAGAAGCGACGACATTCATCTTTGACGACGGAAAGCTCACATTCGTTGTCGATAAAAATGGACAACACTTACACAAAAGAAAGAGACCAAGAAAATTTTTAGATCTCCCAAAAGCTAGGAAACCAAAGGAACCATTTCCAGTACCAGCCGTCCAAGAACCAGAGAGACTTTTGATACCAAAACCTGTGGTTGACAAATATGATCCAGATCAGTTCTTCCCAAAAATACCAAAGTTAGAATAAAAACTCCTTTATTTCTTTAGTATTATATAATAAGTCTATTAGTAAGCTCTGTTCTCGTTCTGTTCTGGTATTTTGACGTCTTTTCATGGTCTCGCATAATAAGATCATGAACTTTTTCTTGAGATACTCGAAGAGCTGAGGTAAGTTATCATATTCTGGATATGTAGGAAGCATCCCTGCTATCGTAAGTGTTGTATCAATAAGGATTGGACTTATATCGGAAAAGTCGAGATCTGGAGTAGAATAAGAAGGTAAGTCTCTTACATGTAGGTAGTCATTATATGCTTTACGCATGAGACTGAGTTTCTGGAGCACAACTATGAGACTTTGGTTCTGACGTTCAAGTTTGCTTAAAGTTCTCTCCAAGCTTCTGTAATAAACGTCAACCTCTGTAAGAGCAGATATTTTTGCATTGATCTCGGAGATCTTTTCTTGAACTTCACCAAGTTTGACCTTAACTGACGTTTGAGCTCCCATCATGTTTTCATCAAGGTCATTCTCTATGTCATCAATGATATCTTCCCATGAAGTCATGTTTTCATCATTGATCTTAACGTGAACACTCATGAAAAAAATGTCATGTAAAGTATAAATGTCAGATTTTTACTCTTGAGCTTCTTCTCTCTGGATTGACTCGTCTGTAGGGCTTAATGTGCCATCACGTTCGACCAGAAGGTTCTGCTCAGGTCTGTCAAGGAGCTGTCTGTAGGTCGTGAAGGTTTCAACGAGTCCTTGGTAAGGAGTTTGGAGATCAACATCGACCCATGGGTGTTTGCGTAAGAAAGCAGCAAGGCTTTCACGCTTGGAGTCAATGACATCTTTCTTATTGGTTAATCCTTCTTCAAAGCTTAGGATTACTCCTGCAGTTGATTCAAGTCTTTGGATCTGGCGTCTGGAAACCTTGGTGAGTTGTCTTATCCTCTCGTTTCCAAATACATGCAGGAGATATGCAGAAATTACTTCATTAAGTTCGATTAAACAAATTGGATGAAGATCAGTCATGGCTTTTGTAAAGCAATCTTTTGTAAAGCTGTCTTTTGTAAAGCAGACTTTTGTAAAGCAATCTTTTGTAAAGCAATCTTTTGTAAAGCAGACTTTTGTAAAGCAATCTTTTGTCAAGACGTCTTTTGTAAAGCAGACTTTTGTAAAGCAATCTTTTGTCAAGACGTCTTTTGTAAAGCAAAAGTATTCAATTTTGTGAGAAAATGCTTTTGTAAAGCAGTCTTTTGTAAAGCTGTCTTTTGTAAAGCTGTCTTTTGTAAAGCTGTCTTTTGTAAAGCTGTCTTTTGTAAAGCAGTCTTTTGTAAAGCTGTCTTTTGTAAAGCTGTCTTTTGTAAAGCTGTCTTTTGTAAAGCTGTCTTTTGTAAAGCAGTCTTTTGTAAAGACATAACCGACGACCGAATGTCCCAAGATGGTACAACACCAGCTCCAGCATCACCAACACTAGATATGATGGCAATGATGATGCAGATGATGCAACAGCAAACCCAGCTTATACAGCAAATGCAGGAAAAGAAAACTTTCAATAAACCTGCAAAGAACTCACAAGATCTTGAAGCTGGACTCAATGCTCTCAGGAACGACTACAAGAGAGAGCAGATGACGTTTAGGAAGAAGGGTGATGAAGATTATGAGAATGATCCGATCGAGGAAGACGAGATCAAGTCCACTGCATCCACAAAGACCCTCCAGGATGAAAGAGATGATGAGGGATTCCTTACCAAGTCTCAAAGACTCTTTGTCCTTGAGTTCTTCACGATCTCTGCCTTGAGATCTATGAGGAATTGGAAGGGTCGCGTTCCAAGTGGCTCAAACAAGCGCGAACTACTCATGACCGCAGTACCGCTCACTAAGACAAAAGTCCAGCTCATGGACTTTATCCTTTCCGCTTGTCCCGACGAGATCTAAGATCTGATCAGAGTAAAAACTTACATTTATGAGCTAAGCTCAGTAATAATTAGTTGTTTATTCTTTCTTCTCATACTTCTGTGCAAGGTTTCCACGGAAGAACTCAAGCAACATTTGGATCTTTCCAAGCTTTCGACCTTCTTTTTCGAGGTCATCCTGGTAAGTTCGGAATGCGTCAACGTGTGAGCTCGCATAGAATGCAGCAACAACAACCTCTTCTGCACCTTCTTTGCTGTCAAGTGGCATGAACTCGAATCCTTCCATTCGACCAAATAAAAGTGACAAAAATGTCAATGAGACCCACTCGTTGCATAGATGCTAAACCTGGTCCGAAGATGCAAAAGTTCTTCTTAACACTCATGTCTGACCATAGGGAGTACGGTCATGAAGAGGTCATACAGATCTTCGATCAGTGTGTACCAAAACCTGAGAATCCAGACGAACTCTTCATGAAAATTTACTTGCTTCAATGGAGAGATGAGAGAACAGATATGAAACTCAGACCAATACCAATCTTTCTAGGTTTCTGCAATTACCTAGAACAAGCATACCAGATTAAAGGGTCTGACACCATCTTCCTCCAAAAATAAACTTTATCGTTTATAACATCAGGATCTACATCTATTTCTTCTGCTTCATCCTCAATGTCGATCTCTTCGACAGGTTTGATAGCAGCTTTGAGTAAGTTCTTACCCATTGTCTTAAGTTCAACTGGGTTATATTCTTTGTCTTTACTCTTTGTTGATTTCGTGAGATCTACATATAAACAATAACTTTTAGTCTTGTCAAGGTTTATTCTCGCTGAGAAATGGTCAGGAATGTTTATAGCTATCTTTTCAAACTTGAGTAAATTAGCTAAACCTTCATTTGTGTATTTCTGCTTATCGACAAAGATCATGATCGGACTTGCACTATAACCATACTTTCCTTGACATAATGTTTGTGGTAAGCATATAAGTAGTCTCTTTGCTGTTTTATTTTGCTTCTTCACTTCATCTACAAACTGTTGGATCTTAAAGAACTTTATATGATGTTCAGACATCTTTATATACCCGATAAAAAGTTCAGATAAAAAAATAATTAGCTATATTTTTATTAGTGCATAAATGAGTCTTTCTTTGAGATTTTCTGATGAAGATCTAACTTTGGTAAGATCTTTAAAAGATGATGAAAACATTCTTTCTGTCATTGATGAAGAAAAGAAATACTTCAGTAATGATGTAAAAATAGAGCTACTCATTCATACTGAGAAACAGTTTGTGATCGTGATCTTGAGTTAACCAACTCGTATCCAAGCGTGCATTGTTATATAAGGAGGCATATAATCTTTTCCATTACCTGCTGGGTCTGTAATGCCAGCTACAACATGTGTATGATTTCCTGCAGTTCCACAGAAAATACCTGTGCTTGAATCTACTGGGTCACTTGAAATATCATATCTATGCATTCCCTGTCTATCCGAACCTGCTGCAAGATTTGTATAACCTCTTTTTGTCATTGAATGTGAATGGTTTCCTTCCACAGATGTTCTTCCACTGAACCTATGCATATGTGAAGGAAGGTTTTCAATACCTATTTTCTTTGAACCTCCCATCTTCATTGACTGCGTATTAGTGTAGAATGGAAAACTGTCAACTATTTCATACCATCTACCACCAAATAAAGTGTTTGGATTTATTGGATTCATAGACGTATAAACAGCTCCTATAGGATATATTAAATCATATATGCTCATAGCTCTATAAACATATTCTAAAGAACTTATGTCATTAAATACCATTTGGAATGTATCTCCCGGATGAAATGTTGCATTTGTTCCACTTTTATAATGTAATGTTAGTTCAATAGAATTATCCAAGAAAAATTCAAAAGTATCTGGTTGAAGACCTCTAACAAATTCAAATGGAGTTGCTGGTTCACCATTTATAATTTCTGTTGTAAATGTCATTTTATCTGGTTTCCAAAATTTCTTTGTTAGTTCTGCATCCACATAAGTTTTGTCAGCTTTCTTATCTAACATTGTTGGTAGCTCATGTGTTTCAAAGTTTCTGACATGACCTTCAATGTTCGTACATTTACTATCTAAACTATTAAGTGTATCTCTTACACTAGTGCTTGGATTCTCTAAAGGTGCACTTGAGCCTAAAGTATAGTTCAAGATAATGTCATCAGCTCTTATTTTCTTGATTTGAACTGGTTGGTCATTATCAGCTCCTATTTTATTGATTATAACAGGTTTGTCTTCTCTTGAACGAATTGATTTAACTGTCAAAGGTTCAGTGAACTCATTATTTCAAAGGAATCAATTTGTATTTATGTTTTCACCATTAATATATACTTCTTTTGCATCAATACCAGATGGGAATGAAACTCTTTCATTAACTTTAACTGTTGTACCATCACCTGGGTACATATCTTTCTCTGGACCTTTGATTGTCTTAAGTATGACAGACTGTGATAAAGTATATTCTTTAGATGCAACTTTACGTATCTCTTCGTCAACATAACTTTTGTCAGCTTTGTCTGCAATCTTAAGTGCAGTTCTTCCTCCATTATTTTTGTTCTCCTCAACTTTCTTCGCTAATTCAGCAAGAATGAGATAAAGATAATCAGTAAGGTCATCAGTACCAGACATATTAATATTATTGTTCTTTCTTGATGTATTAGCAACTTTCACTAAGGTCACAAAATCAGGGTACAAAGTACTTAACGTAGAAATGATTGTTTTTGGTCCAGGATCTTTCTCTTCTTCATCATTAGCATCACGTGGCATTGGAATTGGTTCCAAAGGTCCAGTCACATCAAAACTCTCAAGTTCCATATAACCTTCATTTCTGAATCTTTCTATATGAGTTATCTTCTGGAAACTTGTTTTAGTCTTTTCAACTAAATTTTTTATTCCATCCACAAAACCTCCTTTATGATTTGGACCAAGATTACCCAGAGTGTCAAGAACAGTATCTATACCTTCTTGACTTTCAACAAAAGCCCAAAGAGCATTTATTTGACTCTGGAGTGATATCCATGAGGCTGCAGTAGCACCGGCGTTTGCTATGGCAAAGATGAATGATAAAGGGTTGAACTTAAGACCAGATTCTTTATCTTTGACAATTTCAACGAAGTCATTGATATTTTTCTTCAAGTATTCCTTAGTCAGAAGAACTCCATCGCCAGCTATACCAGTTGCTTTTGTCTTTCCTTTAACATCAAATGTGATTGGTTTCTTCAATAAAATAACTTCTGGTGTTGTACTGATGCTATCATTAGTGGAGAAAAATTCTCCGACATGACTTGCTAAGTATTCTTTCGTCAATAATGTTCCATCACCAACAATACCAGTTGCTTTTGGACCATCTTCTGTGAATGTCAATGGTTTCTTTAACATAACTTTATCTAAGTATATTGCAATACCACTATTTTGTACTTGTTCATGACCTAATATATAAGCAAATGCTGCGTTTAAAGCATTATACAATGTATCTTCTTTAAATGTTAATTGACTGTTTTCAATCATTGGTATATTGAACAGTGTAGACCTTGGGTCAAAATGAACTCCATGGTCAATCGATAATAACCGTTTAACATGATATATTATAGTCTCTAATGCTTCATTAATATTTACCTCACGAGTTTCTTGCAAACCATTACTCGCCATACATGAAAACATATAATCTCTATCAGTTGTGAAGAATGGAGCATCTAAGTAATTATTCTCTACTTTTGTCACACGATTCTGTAACGCTTGAAGGTATTGATTTAAGTCTGTTTCAACAATTGTACCATCTGGTTGCTCGATAGGTAATATACCAGGACCGATGGTAATGTCTTCATCAGCACCTTCTTTATGTATGACTAAAGCATTATCAGTAATTCTGAGAGTATATTCTTTATATTGAAGTACGCTAGACTTATAACATTCATATGCATATGGAACAACACTCATTCTTTTACTACATATAAAAATGATGTATTATCTACAATCGACTGATCCTAATAACTACGGGACAATACAGTTTCAAGCAGATCCTAACATGGGGCATCCAAGTAAGATAAAGATGAGAGTAAAAAGTGTCAGTACTATGGCGAACTTTATTGTTTGTGACGAAACAGATTATTTTGTCTTACAGTTAGACGAAGATGGAGAAGAAAAGGTGTGTACATTTAAGTCAGCTCTTTCATTTGATATGGATACTATTGTATCAAAACTACAAGAGATTGTAACAAAACAGTTTGATTATTATAACAAGAAAAAAGGTCAACATAATGTAACAGTTTCACTGAGTGCTACGAATCAACTTATATTTACGTCACAGGACAAAGGACATAAAGTCTATTTAAAAGATGCTTCACATAGAGCAAATCTTATTTTAGGTGCATATGGAATAGAACTACCTATTGTACATAATTATTATCTACAAATGCCAAAACCACCTATGCTCAACTTCGGGTATCAGTTATACCTTCGTTCATCAATGTCTGTCATCTCTGGGTTCAATAATATTGACCAAGTTGATGATCGAAGAAAGATCATGTACAGATCTACATGTTATAACATCAATGAGTTCTGGATATCTGGTAAACCACTTATATGTAAGGAATCCTCACCATGGATAGATGCATTTCCATGGGAACTAACTAATGTTACGTTTACCTTAGTTGACTTCCAAGATCAGCCTGTTCGATTATTGTCACCAATGTTTATGGTGATAGAGATTAAACCAGATAAGCCAGAAGTTAGAGAAACCAATGATGTCAGTGATGATGATACAGAATCTTCGTACGATTATGATTACGATGACGATTAAAAAAAAATAACGTATATTTTTTTATCGGTTATAAAAGACCAACATGCTCAATGCTATAAAAGGATTAGTTAATAACCTTTCACCAGAAGATAAGAAAGGTATGCTTGATATGTTTGGGATCAAAATGCCTAAGAAAGCTAAAGACATTACCAATAAATTAGCTCTGGCAATTAAGAATCAAGGAGGTACAGGAAGTGTAGCAGATATTTTCAAGAATGCTAAGAGCTTCTATGATGACTACAATGGTATCATGAATGTTCCAGCTTCAAATTCCCCAGTTGCTTTAGATCACGATCAGAGATCTCATAATAGAGCGTTAATGGAGATGCAACCAATATACTCAGACCCTCCACCAAAGATTGATGAGAGCGAATTAGCATACAAAGAAATACAGAATGCCTTTTACGTTGTTAAGAACATTAATGGTCAAAAACTTCCTGATGAGAAATGGTTAGACCCAATAACTAAAGCAGGAGAAAGATTCATTATGTTTAACATTGACCAATACAGTCCAAGAGGAAAAGATTACTTCAACAAGATGTTTCCAAGAGTTATGGCAAAGTTCATTGGACAGATAGACCTTTTCAAACAGAAGTGGACATTCTATTACGACTTTGATGAGAAGAGAAACATTTTGCGTCATTTGAACATCAATACAATGGGATCATTAGTTCATCAGTTACTTAATGAAGCTCCAATAGCAGAAGTACAAGAATTAGCATCTAAAGTCCTTGAATCAAACTATGACTTCTTCCTTTGTAGTATTCCTTCGTTAAGGAAGATCGAGATCTTTGACTATACAGCTTATTCAGATGTTGATGCTTCTGCTTTGAGAAAAGGAACGTACACACCATATAAACTCACAGCTGAAGAACAAGTTATGTTAGATACGATGAGAGCAGCAGGTCAAGAAAAGATCGCACTCAAGATCATCAAACAAAACCATTCAAAGAAGAGAAACAGGTCACGTAATGGTCAGCTTTGGACATGGACATGCAAATTACCTATTAACTTAGAGAGGTATCAGATCTTCAACGAACTTAATGCAGAGACAGCAAAGAAGATGATGAAAGATTCATGTTTCATCTACGCTTGTATTCAAGCTGGTGTTGACGAAGCAACAATTAATCATATGAGGGAAATCATTCGTGTCAAAGATTTTCCAATGTCAAAGATTAAGGTTATTGCCAAAGAAACAGGAATAAGGTTCCATGTCATCAAATACAACGAGAAGTATTCAAATCATTCATATACTTATGAACCAGATGAAGAACCAAAGATGACAGTAGAACTTTTATTAATGTATGACCACTACATGTTGAACGAAAAGCTTCCAATAAGTTCAATGTTCATCAAGAACTATGAAGATGTTTGTAAGTTGTGCAAGGATTGGACTTTAGAGAAGAAGATGTTAGTTAACAGAAGATATGAAACAAGGTATGCAATTAACTCAAAGTTAGTTACACCACTTGCAAAAGTCATTGAACTCTTGTTTGCTAACAATTATTTCGAACCAATTAGAACAGGAGAACTTTGCACATACTTCACAACGATGTATAATGAGAACCTTGAAGAAATGATTGACCTCACATACAATGAGCGTTATTGCGCAAGGATGAAGAAAGATTGGAGTTCAGAGACGAAGAAAGACATGAAGTTCCCAAGAGAACATGTTTTCTTTGCTGACTTCGAAGCATCAACTGATGGAAACATTCACAAAGCATACAACATTTGTTTCATGGAAGATGACGATGATGGTTATACATCAATTTGGGGAAGTGACTGTGCGTCAAAATTCCTCGAAGCTTTACCAGATAAGAGTTTAGTTTATTTCCACAACTTATCGTACGATGTCACTTTTCTCATGTCTCAGTTAGAAGAGATTACAGGAACTCCAATCATCAAAGGTTCACAAACGATGCAGATACAAGGAAAGTACAAAGGAAAACTTCTCTGCTTCAAAGACTCTTATGCAATCATCTCAACTAAGTTGGAAAGATTCCCTGAAATGTTTCACCTCACTAGTGGTGAAAAAGAAGTTTTCCCATATAATTACTACACGGAAGAGTTAGTTAATACAACTAAAGTTGGTAACATCGATGATGCCATGAATCATGTCAAAGATATTGAAGCTTTTAATGAGAACATTGAGAAGATTGAAGATTGCAAGATTGATGATGAACACTTTGACATGGAAGTTTATTCGTCATTCTATTGCGGTCAAGATGTACGCATTTTACGAGATGGCTTTCTTAAGTTCCGCAATGACCTCATGACTGAGTTTGAAATAGATGCTTATGATTATGTTTCAATAAGTTCTATCTCAAACAAACTCTTTGAGAAGAGAGTATATTGGAAGAACGGTAATCTCTTTGATCTTGCAGGAAAACCTCGTGAATATATTTCCAAGTGTATTCAAGGAGGAAGATGCATGCTAGCTGAGAACAAGAAGCAATACAATGAAGGAGAACTCATCACTGACTTCGATGCTGTATCATTGTATCCATCAGCAATTGCTAGACTTTACTGTTTAGAAGGAATTCCAAAAGTTATGACAGAAGAGATGAAGAGCAGTGAATACTTGTTGGAGCATCTCTTTGATGATGACCAAGCTGAACCAACAAAGGAAAAGTTCATCTCAGGATTTTACTGTCAGATCGAGATCTTGTCGATCGGTAAGAACTCAGCATTCCCATTGATTGTCGTCAATCCTGACATCAACCCTGACTTACATGTTGCCAGAAGTTCCAATACATGCTGCAAGATGTTCGTAGACCACATTACGCTTCAAGATCTGATCAAGTTCCAAGAGATCTCATGCAAAGTCATTGATGGATACTATTATGATGGAAAAAGGGACATGACAATAAGGAATGAAGTTAAGAAGCTCTTCGAATTACGTGCTAAGTATAAGAAGGAAGGTAATCCGATACAAGAGATCATCAAACTTCTTTTGAACAGTATCTATGGTAAGACGATATTAAAGCCCATTGACAAAAAGATTCGTTTCATCAAGGACAATAAGCTCACTGACTATATCATTAAGAACTATAATGACATACAGACAATAGAGTTCATCCCCGATTCCGAACTTTCATGTGTAAAGTCATTTAAACCTATCGTTCGTCACTTTAACTATTGTCCATTAGGTGTTTCAATCCTTTCTATGTCCAAACGAATCATGAATGAAGTATTCTTCACAGCAGAAGATTTGGGCTTGAAGTTGTTCTATCAGGATACAGATAGTTTACACTTGTATGAGAAGGACTTAGATAAGTTAGCAGAAGAATACAAGAGAAGGTATAACAGAGAACTCATTGGAAAAGCACTGGGTCAATTTCATTCAGACTTTGCAGAGATTACTGCAGGACATATGTCTAAGGCACAAAGATCTATATTCGTTGGAAAGAAGACTTACCTCGACGAATTAACCAATGACCTCAAGGAAATTGCTTTCCACTGTCGAATGAAGGGAATCACACAGGACGTAATTGCACTTACTGCAAACCAAATGTTCCCAGATGCGATACAAGTACATTATGACGAGAAGAAAGGTTTGTTCTTCCCTGAGAAAGTTGGGGAAAAATATAGCATCGTGGAATTGTACAAATCTCTTTATGAAGGTGATGAGATAACCTTTGACTTGTGCATTGGTTCGAAACCATGCTTCAACAAAAATAAGGACTTCACTATTTCAACGAAGTCATCTTTTGAACGTAAGTTAAAGTTCTAAACACTTACTTATTATTTTTCTTAGCTTCTTCCTCTTCTCTCAATTTCTTTGCAATCATTCGTGGATTCTTTGCGCGTCCAGCTGCTAATGCAGCTAATTGTTTCTCTGTGAGTTTACGCTTTGGTTTAGCTGGTTTCTCTTCTTGTGTTTGTTCTTTTGGTTTGAGTTCATTAAGTATTTCTTCACGAAGTTCATTCTTGAGTGCTTCTCTGTCGAAAGTATTCTCAGTCATTTTGTTAGGAGTAAAAAATTTTATTAGGATAGAAATGACGTCAAAACTTTCACCAAGTGAAAAGCAATCAATCATATTGAATGAAGCTAAAGGAATACAACATCCATTATATTATGTTTGTCATATGAAGAATGGTTCAGTTCAAGTTAGAAAGAGAAAGGCACCATTGAATTCACCAGCTCCTGCCCCAGCTCCTGTTGTTCAAGAAGCTCCTAAAGTTGATGAGAAGAAAGAAGAAGAACAAGCATATACTAATAAAATGTTGTTAGAGATGATGACAAAGATATTAGAACGTAACAGTGTAGTTAATGAACCAAACATGGACCCAATTGAACGTGAGAAGGAAACTAAAGAGAATCAAGAATATGTTCAATCAATGGAAGAGAAAAGAATACACTTCGATGATGAACCAGAGCCTGAACCAGAACCTCCTAAACCTCAGCCACAAATAAGACGAATAATCCCAAGAATAAGAAGATTGTAAATTTTTTATAGCTGAGAAAGATGTTGAACGATAACCTCAATACATACAGTATTGCTGATTCCATCAGACAAGTAAGATATTATTTCGATCAAGTTGATGGGGCAGTTCCTATTGGAGATACTAACCATAGATATGTCCCAACAAAAGTGCCAGCTATGCCGACAAATACTATTGATAACGGTTATATTACATTTAACATATCACCACCTGGTGAGAACATGATTGACTTATATAATACGTTCATTAGTGGTTATGTCGATGGTGAGTGCATAATTACAACAGAAACTGAACCAGCTGATGAAAAAGTTCCTAAATATGATGGTGAAGTATATAAAGAAAGAGCTGTTGAGACAGCTCCTACAGGATCAAATGTTACAGCAATTAAAGCAATTGATACTAAATATGCTGGTGGCAAATCATGTGCACATCTTCCAGCAATTTGGTTGGGATACATTGATTCATTCTATGCTGTTGAATCATATCAATTAATCGCTAATGGTAAAAGTGTTTATACACAAGATAATGCTAGAGAAGAAGGTTACATTACTTCTACTGCATCTACAACAGAAGCTATTAAGAAAGTTGATGTATTTAGTAAGGCTAGACATAAAGATGTTTTCAATAGATGTGATACAGTTCGTTCTGGACAGATTATTGAGTTCAATAAAACCAATTAGTGGTGCAACTACATTAAAGTTCCACATACCAATCAAAGATTGACCTAAGAAGATTCCCTAATACTTAATAACATTAGATTCCTTCCAGCGTTTGCTGGTAACTTACAACTTAAGGTTAAGTTCAGTATTGCTGGTATGGTTTGGACACCATTAAGTTATCAGGATATTCTACCATTACCGAACATGCAAGCCAATGTTACAAGCTATATTCCAATCACTAATCACTTCACTCCTATCTATGAAGGTATCAAAGTTATTGATACTGTAACTTGGAATGCCGATAAGAGTACGATATCATTTGGTACCAAGTTTATTAAGTTCACTAAGAAGAATGCAAACTTCTTTGAAATGATTACATACTGTAACTCATTCTCTTTGGACCCTAACATCTATAGTGATTTGGTGACAAGATATTCGGCAAAGACTCTAAACTTCCCAATCAAAAGAATTGACTGCATTACTATGGATGGTTCAATGGCTAAAGGTGAAGGAACTCCTTGTACATTCACGGCAGCATTTACTCCATTATATGTGAACACCATTTATACACTATTTAAGAAAACACCTAATTATAACACTACCTATGAAAATCCATTGTTTGAACAAATTCAATTGAACTGTGGAGCATATGGTAACATACCCGCTGAGGCTCAAGCATCTAATGATCCAATCTTCTATGAGATGCAGGCAAATGCCACTAACAATAATAACGATACTGTTGGCTTCAACTATGATGTCATGAGGTCTATCACAACCACATCAGTCCCTCAATTTGGAATCGAGTCAAATGACTTAGGTCATTACCTATGTGGATTCCCTTGCGAAACTGATTATACATTCCAACAGGGTCAGTTATCTAATTCACCTATTACATATAAGCTTACAGTTAAGCCAACAGCAGAGTCTATTAAATATACTGAGAAACCAGTGTTATGCTTCTTACGTCACGTTTGCCTCTCCATACAGATTAAACAGGTGGGACCACCTATCGTACTTCTCGACGATTATGATTTATCAGCCCCTGCTAGTGAATAAAGGTTAGTTTACATATGAACGTTTATTTTTACACATATATGCGTACATATGCGCGCCCGTATGGTGTCAGTTTTCTGTCACTTTTTTCATTGTGTCGGTGCCTGTAGCTGTAGGCTACAGGCGACGCACAATGTATACTGTACTGGTTTTTGAGAAGGATTATTCAATTTCATTTCAAATGAAAAGAAATACTGAATAAATTTTGACCCAAAAAGCGAAATTATAATTATATCGAGAGAAATAAATAAGAGTTATGTGGAAAGAGAGATTTAAACATCATTTTTTACCATTTCCTACCTTCTTTTGAGGAATTTCAAATGGTTCGTCAGTTCCAGCCTGGTAGATAACAGTATTTCTGAAAGAAGAGTGATCTCTAACAGCGTCATAGTGCTGTTTGTATTCCAATTTTGTATCTGGTGGTAATTCGAGCGCCGAGCATAATGCACGGCAAATTTCATGGCGTACTTTATCATCTGATGCAGTTCTATTCCATAAACTAATTATATCTTCAGGATATCTAACAGAAATAACTGCTCCAAGGGCATCTACTGGAAATTGTTCTCCAATTAATGCCATAATAAGTCTTTCCCAGTAGTATGAGCCTAATCCCTTTTTTAATCTAATAATCCATTTTCCTCCTTTCACGTTATCTTGGTCTTCCCAAATTGCGCGTATTCCATTCCTAAATAGATGATAGTCTGTTGGTGGTTCTAAGTCATTTGGACGTTTAAGGTGACTATATATTGACCAAAATTCTTCGATTGTATTAAAACTACCGAGTGTATGTATATTTTTCTCGTAATTGTCAGCTGCTTTTGAGCCAGGTGCTCTGTAAAACATATAAAAACTCCACTCAGAAGCAAGCGGAGTATTCGATTTTCTCATCGAAATTAGGTGAAAAATTGTAAACTGAGATTTTTAAATAATCATTGGAAAAAATTATATTTTTAAAGCAATATTTATACGGACAAATGTTTAATGAGACTGATTCTTATCAATTCACAATTGATTTAATGCAATGGCCTAAATATGAACCATTTAATAATGTAGTCTATAGTAAATAAATTTTTATATGTATTTGAGGCGAATCACTTAACCCTTTTGGTTGAGATCCTTCAATTAGTTCAATAATTGATCAAAAGTAGTGATAACGTTAATGATACTTGATATAAGTTGCAGAATCGTTCTATGAAATTGAGGGTTTCAATAACGTGTGTTATAAAAGAAGTAAAAACAAAAATAATGTAAAATATATTCTAACAATTTATTAAATTTTGGTTATTATCGTTACGAAAATGAATAGAAAGTTATATTATAATATAAATATAACAGAAAGTATTCAGAATTATTTCTTGATACAAATTGTTGGGTAAAGTCTATCCCAATAGTAGCAAACGTTCTGTGGGATGTTTTCTAGCATCTTTTCTGCTGTATTCAAGAAATCTTCTTTTGATTGGTAGTTTAATGCAGACCAGACAGACATATCATTAACTTGTGTAATGCGAGGCGAGCACAATCCAAGTTGGCTTGCTCCTGGTCGTAGAAGCTCGAAAGGAATTGAACAAATTGGAAGGGAGTCAAATGATTTGTTCAAAAACATCTTGTAATGCTCTTCACTTCTCCACCCTCGACCTAGAAATTCATCTGTTTGTCGATCTCTTACAATTATTCCTAACGTTTCAACAATTTCTGACAAAATTTCATCTGCTGGCAATCCGATTTGAAAAGCAACTTGCCAGAGATGGTCATCCATTGTATCAACAATTTTTTGAACAAGTGATCGGGATAAAAGAATTCCGGAATCTAATAATAACATTTGGAAGAAATATCTTTGTTCTACGCAATCTCCAAGAATATACCTATTGTTATTCCTATTTAATTGCATTTCCTTACGAATAAACTTTATAAATCTGTCTAATTTCATGTATGCGGCGTCATTAATAACAAAAAGAAAATCAGCATATGATCTCTCCAAAAATAGCTTTAGAGAATGTATCAGTAAGAATGCTGATGGGTTTACTGTATATTTTGGTAAAGAATTGATCGTGATTGTAGATAAATTACATTCTTCGTTATCCGTGGCATTTAATGAGTACATTTCAACTCCATCGATTTCTTTATACTGTTTTATTGGATCCATCCATTGTCTTTTCATTATACAGTGATATTTTTCAGGTTTATATGAATTATCAAGAACCATTATATATAATTGCTTAGAATATTCTAGTTCGGAAAGAAATGGAGGCTTTGGGTTTTTCTTTCGCAGACTCCAAACTAATTTTGGATCATCATATGGAATTGGTTTTGAATATTTTTTGAAAGTTGGAAAGCTATTCGCTTGGCTTCTAAACGAAATCATAATACTTACTAATGAAATGATTGTTACAACAATTATTCTGAAAAATATTAAGGTTTTTTTCTTGGTTAGTTGCTTCATTAATCACACATCAATAATGGCTCTAAAAATTGATGCATTTGTATCAGGAATGCATAGAAGTATGCTAGATCTTAGAGGTTTTAAGATGTTAGAACTAATTCAACAAAGAGAATTAAAATCAATCTAAAAATTGATTAAAATTATGAAATTATGTGAATCCTCAATGAAGCAATTATGTTTAATTCGAATTTATTTTGTTCATAAAAAACTTTATTTTTTGGAAGGAAAAAAAAATGCCAACATAAAAAATCAATCAAACTTTCACTATTATGCAGACGGGTAATGTAAAGCAGTCTGTAACTAACACAGAAGAATTAATACAGGCTTTTATAAACAATAACATAGCACAAATCAATGGTTTTCTCAAAGACGCTAATTTAGATACGTTGAAAAAATTAAACAAAGAAGAGATATTGCATTTGCTCGATTACATGGGAATAAGTAATAGATTCTTCAAACTCATTTATGATACTTTTAATACCCAAGCAAATGAAGTTCAAGAAAAAAAGATTTCTAAAGAATCATTAGTTGATGAACCCCAAACAATCGGTGATATTGCACCTGTAGAAGAGGGAAGTGGAACACAAATAAGAAAGCAGTAATTGGGAAAAGAAAAATTCTGATCATAAAAATACAAGTCTGGATGACCCAATTAGCTCAATTAAACCAAGGGACCAAGATTTATATATTATTCTATCAATATCCAATATAAATATTATCCCAGAAAAAAATAACTCCACAAATATTTTTCATAAACTTTCCTCACAATTATAAATTTGATTTTATGCCAAAATTATCTCAATGCAGGAATATTATTTGAACTTCTTGAAAATATAAGTCGAACCTATTCATCAACCTCAATGTGAATCCTTCAGAATCCAATGATGGTTATCGAAAGAAGAAAAGATTTCCAAAAAGAATTGAAGATGAAATCAATTAATCCATATAGATAACTTTTTCATGTGAATCATCTATTGAATGTGATTATATTTTCTACCATCTCCATTTGAAAAACCATTCATTGAAAAAATTTGATTGTTTCCAGCTCCAGAAATTGCTGTCAATACCATTCAATATGTATATCAACAAAAGATGGAAAGGTTTAGTCTTGAATCACCCATACCCGATGGGATTATTCCATCCGAATTGTTCAATTTTCGCATGGAGGTTGAGCATTCTTCATCACCAGAAGACATAGACATGGTTTCAGGATAAACAAGAATTCTTCTTAAGGATATACTTTCTTACATTGTGTTTCAATTTGCCCTATTTCAGGATTACCAATTTTATTTTGCAACCATAAGAATCGACGGCCATGCTTTGCCAGGCGAATTCATTAAAGTTCATGATGGCTAGTTTTGTATTTTTAGGTTTTCATTTTGTTATTGCTGTTTAATTTCTAAATTTCTTTGTATATTATTAATTTTAATAAGATTTTTAAAAACTTTATTGAACATCATATGCGTCATATGATTTTCTAAATATTGATGCCAATAAACAAAATCCGCTAATCAAGAAGATAATCATCAAAACTTCATTTATTTTACACTTGTATGCTTCAATCAAACAAACTTTCTTATTTTAGACCTTGTTTGATGCATGAAATCGCAATTTCAAAGGGAGTGCCGCGGACAATTTGCAAATGATCACTTTTCAATAAACCTTAAATTACGCTTTTCTATTTTTTTAAAAAATAACCTAAATTATATTTGAAGAAATTATGGTCTATGATGATATGTTTTAGCTAGAATCTTGGAGTTTTCATAGCACTACACAAGAGCTCCAAGGTTCCAAGAGTGAATGCTCAAAATAGCAATTATAGGAGATGTACCTTTTTCAAAATGACTTTTACTGATTAAAATTTAATGCAATAAGAAAGTACATTTTGAAAAGGTACCTCATACAATCTAGGATATACAAGAGATTCAAAGCTTCATTTCCAGATTAGATTTGGAACTTTGAAACTCTTTGGTAGATTTTGAGTGAATGCCTGACAATCAATCTTTGAGAAGCGTTTCTTAAAGAAAACCTTCTCAAATGAGTTTCTCAGGAGCCCTGGAGGCTCCCTTTCGTTAATGATTGGGAGCCTTGGGGCCTCCTGAGACGAAGAATGGCTTCGCCGCAATCTCTGATCAGCAGAGGGCCAAATTGAAAAAGGCCTCTGCTGATGGATTCTCAGGAGCCCTGAGGCTCCCTTTCGTAATGAATTGCGGAGCCTTTGGGGCTCCTGAGACGAAAGAATGCGCTTCGCCGATAATCTTTGATTCAGCAGAGGCCAAACTGAAAAGGCCTCTGCTGATGGATTCTCAGAGTCCCTGAGGCTCCTTTTCGTAATGGATGGAAGCCTTGGGGCTCCTGCCAGCAGAGTATCGCTCCGCTCCATTTAATTTTTTTTTAAAAAAAGTGCCGCTGCGCAAATTTGGTTCCTGTTCCCAATTCAAAGAAGGAACCTTTAAAGATTAAAAGTAAAAATGTTCTTATATCTTATTTTTCAACCTTAGTCTTATCAAAGGATTCATTGAGCTATTTCATGAAGAATAGAAAAAATCAGTATAAAAAAAAGATTAAAAATTTAAAACTTTGACCGGTTTTTATTTCAAATTCCTTGAAAATTTGAAGATAAGAACGCTACTTCCCCTCAGGAAAGAACGACTAGTTGAGAGTGGCTTCAATGCCCCTCCAGGTGACCGGCGCCTCTTCGGGATTATTCAGGCAAGAAAGTACAGCCTCCCCGCACTGAACGGGTGGCCAATTCCGCTTCAGTCGGTGGAGCGCTAGGACTTTCTATATCCGGAATAATGGTTCTCCAATTTCGAAACATTTTGAAACTCCACCCTCCAATTAGCCTCTGGAATAGCCGGTCAGTCAGCCCATCCAGTTATTCAAAACAAGAAGAATGGAAAACATGGAGTCTTCATCCTGTGTCATCTTGTTGAAAAATAACAAACTGCAGCCACTGCCCTCTCCTCCGAGCAACCTCTGGAGGAGCTCTGCATCATTTTTCTTTATACAGCCTTCCGTGTCAAAACGCATTGCTAAGTAGTTTGCCGCCTTTGACAGCAATAACTTCATGGACTGCAATGCGGCTGAACTTCCTGTGGTTAACAAGTTTCATTATAAGCTGTTGAATTTTCCAAGATCAGGAGAGGGAATGCGTTGCTTATCCAGGGATCTCACACTCTTGTTGTAGACGTGGAGTGGTTTCCTTCCTTGCCTGAGATCCCTTGGTGCCTTTTTGTTGGAATACATCATCAAATTGAATCAAAATGTTAAACCACTCAAAAACTTTTATGGGACTCCGTCTTAATGGATGATGGCTATTTAATGATCGACTATATTAGTTACAACTATTGTCAAAAAACAATTTTTAAATAAAATCCTGGGAAAAATATATATTTTTAAAATGTTGATCAGTTATTTTATCTCGTAGAATTGTTTATTATGCATGCCAAGAAAGATAATTTATTGACTTTTTAGCGCAGTTTTTAATCTCAATTCAGTACAGATGATACAATCATTAATTTTTGGAATCTTTTGGAATTTTGCGATCCTCTCT